GAAATGGTGTAGTTAGAAGGTTTCATCACTGTATCCCCTAGTCCGAGGCCATCTCGTCAACCCAGGTCCAAACTCTGCCAAGACGTCTATCTCCCCGGTCTGTGTAGACCAAGCTGCCTCTTCAGTCCCCAAGGCCGGAAAATGACATAAGACCACGAGTATTTTCATCCATGAGAATTTATACAAATATTGACGGTGGGGCAAGGATGATTTTGATTGGTTCTTAACTTCGACAGGACTATAAATATTTTAACTGACCACAATCTAAAGGGAACCAGTAATTTAACCCCCCCCCCCGTTACTAGTTACCAGTTACTCTAAGAAACGCCCTTCCCTAGCTCTCTGTCTTTAGGTACTTGATCTTCACTTTGGTTCGAGAGGGAACGGCAGATATTGAGAAGAATTTTTGGCCCGGTTCACGAGGGAGACTCCTAGATAAGGAGGAAGAATCAGGAACTCTCAAGACTGTACAAAGATCCTGATATCATCAAGTGGATCATGATTGGGAGACTTCGATGAGCGGACCACATTGCAAGGATGAAGGAGGACGATATACCTAAGAGGACATTGGCTGAAGAGCTTCATGGCAGGCTAAGAGTGGGTAGGCCAAATGTGAGGTGGGCTGACTCCGTCACAGCGAACGCACGCAATCTCCTCGGCGTTAGGAACTGGAGAGCTGCAGCAACACATAGAGCCAACTGGCGGGGACTTTTGGAGGAGTCCTAGACGCGGTAACGGGTTGTTGCGCCGACTATGTATGTATGTATCTAGAAGGCAGAGCTGGATTGACGTGGCATTGGCATCACTAGTGATGGATAACCGCAATATCAATTGAGCCCTCCGATCTGAGACAAGTTCCGACCACCAAGCGATAGCCTTTTGGTTGACGAAAAATACAGAAGTTTCCCTTGACAAAGAAAAAAGGTTACCTAACACGAAAAGGAAATTGAGTTCCTTCCGGTCATTGCTGGAGGAAAAACTGATCGACAAAGACTGGGATGCGGTGGAAATGGAGCAAACAGATAATCTGGATTATCGAGTGTCCAGGATCACTGATATCATTAGCGATACCGCTGAAGAATCCCTTCAGCACCGGAAGGTGAGGGCTCAACCTGTCCCATGGTGGACACTGCCCTTAACCACAATGAAGAGAGGACTCTACAAGGCTAGGCGCTCGTACCAGAAGTGTACTTGCAAAGAGAGGCGCATTACACTTCGTGTGAGTACAAGTCTAAATCCAGGGCAAACTGAAAATTACTTTAGCGAAGTTTCATTCAAATCGGTACATTCGTTTAGGCGCTACAGCAACGCTCGTAGTATAGTAGCCCATATATATGAGAAAGTAGTGAACAGAATTCAATAAAATTGACATTACATTTTTTTTTCACCAACATCTACCTTTTATCCAATTATGAACTAAATCTGAAATATTGGCATATTTAAAAAAATACGTTTGTGCGTTAGCGTAAGCGGAAGTGCTGGTTGGAATTTGATAAAATTGATATGTGACCATCTAGGCACCATTTCGCATAGTCTCTGAAAATTTGAGGAATATCGGATGAGCAGTACTAGCTGATATACCCGTCACATCGATTTGACTACAGACAGACACCGAACCAAATTTGATCCTTTATGTCAGAAACATAAAACGCAAGTGGAAATTTTCGATTCTGAGCCCAAAATGTTTTTTAACCTCTCTCACGAACACAATGCTTGACTACCTCAGTAGTGAGGAAGTAAAAATAAATCAGTATTTCGATTTCTCTGATTATCCTAAAACTCATTCATGTTTCTCAGAAGAAAATAAAAAAAGTTAGTAAAGTATAAAGATGAATTAAATTCCAAAATATTTTTAAAATATGTTGGGTTAATAGCCAAAATGTACCCCGTTATGATGGAAGGTGTAAAGAAGCGTGCTAAGGGAGTAAAACTATCATCGTTAAAACAATATATTACTTTTGAAGACTAAGAGGAAGTGCTATTGAAAAATGAAATTACGCATGCAACTATGAGATTAATACAATCAAAGTAGCATATTTTTAGTCCTGAGATACATAAAGTTTCTCTTTCTCAATTCAACTTTAAAAGGAACATATTAGAAGATGTGGTCATTACCTTGGGCAATGGTCATTATAAATTGACTGAGTTAAAAAAATAGAAAATTAAATTTAAATAAATAGAAAAGAAAATTTTATAAAATGATTAAAATAAAAAAAAAATTGTTTGAATTTGTTATTTATTCTCCGTTAATTGTATAATGCAATTTGTGTGTGTGTGTGTGTGTGTGTGTGTGTGTGTGTGTGTGTGTGTGTGTGTGTGTGTGTGTGTGTGTGTGTGTGTGTGTGTGACTAAGACTTTTATTATCCCCACATATATTATTACAGCAAGGCTCGAAATCGGTTTTGTACCAAATATAAGCTCCTGCTCAAAGACCATGAATGGGGTACCGTTGGATTCAGAATTTCACGAGTGGTTAGCGAATTGTACTCTCCACTTTTGTTTTTCTTTCTAAAATAAATAAAGTCGATAAAAACATTTTGCTGGGCTTCATTACTGGAACAGTGGTAAGTCTGAAGATCAATACGGTACAAAATGGTCTTTGAAGATTTTGATGCGTACAGCAAGACCAGGATAGTTCCCTCGGAACTATAAAACTATACAGGGCCCTGTATTTTTAAGCCCCAAAAACGTACTATTTTCGAGATAACGCAAGGCATATGGTTCGCATCCAAACAACCTTACGTTAATTGTAGTACTGTCATTGAATACATGTCTCATTTCGTCGACTCGGCCTCTATGATCGAGAGAGGAGCAGTTTATATTATTTATCGATTATATTTTTGATAGACAAGTCATATCATCGTTAATTATTCACCAAATTCCAAGATGGAGTCACCAATTTTGAAGGCTTCCTTCTAATTCAGACGAGTAACATAGTCCAATCACCCCGAAAATTCTAACAAGTTATGAAAGAAAAGAAACTTTTTTGCGAATAACTAAAAAGTAAACACTTTTCCCTTTAGGTGAACACTTCTCCTTGGGGTTATGCCCATAATGATATAAAATATTACTAAATTCCTTCATCATCATCATCATCATAGTTGGCACAACAACCCGTTAACGGGTCTAGGCCTCCTCCAAAAGTCATCTGTTGCTGCAGCTTCCAGTTCCTAACGCCGAGGAGATCGCGTGCGTACGCTGTCACAGAGTCTGCCCACCTGAAATTTGGCTTACCCACTCTTTGCTTGCCATGAAGCTCTTCATATCGCCCTCCTTGCAACGTGGCCCGCCCATCGAAGTCTTCCAATCTTGATCCACTTGATGATATCAGGATCTCAGTACAGTCTTGAGAGTTCCTGATTCTTCCTCATTATCCAGGTGTCTCCCTCTCGAACCGGGCCAAAAATTCTTCTTCCAACTATATCTTCCGTTCAATATCACCAGAAGGACGTTCTCACTGGCTCTAGTGAAGGCCCAAGTCTTTGCGCCAAACGTAAGTACCGAACGAATGAGGGTCTTATATAGACCGATCTTGGTCTTGTTGGAGAGATGTCTGCTTTTGAAATATTTTGCTAGTCCAAAATAGATCCCATTGGCTGCGGCAGTTCTTCGGTTGATCTCCTGGGATATGTCATTTTGAGTGTTTATTTCTGAGCTCAGGTATACAAAACTTTGCACCCTCTCAAATCTATATTGTCCAACTTCAAAAAAACCTGTCCATACCTCTGATGGTCCTATTCCTAAATAATTTGTCTTGGCTTGATTGAAGACCAAGCCAATGCTCTGCATCTGCATACACCAGCAACTGGACCGTACTGTTGAATAAGGTGGCCCGTGTTTGGATCCGTGGTGGTGTGTAACCATCCTATATTCCTTGGCTTTTTCCAGAATCATTCTCAGGTAGAAGATCTGGTCCGCGGTTGACCTACCCCTTCTGAATCCAGCCTGGTAGTTTCCTATCTCTCTTTGAGCATGGGGGGTGATTCTATCGAAAAGGATGTTTGATATCACCTTGTAGGCACTCGAGAGGAGGGCAATACCTCTGTAGTTTTTACACTCCGTTTGGAAGCGAATCAATAATTTCTTGTCTCCAAATTTGTGACATCCTTTCTTCTTCCCATATTGTAAGGATGTAAAGTTCCAACGTAGCGAATCATCTCCGCTTGAATGCCGTCTAGGGGTTTTGTTATTCTTTAGCTTTATAACGGCCGCCTCGACTTCATCGTGGTCTGTTTTTTTTTTCCTTTACTAAATTCATTACAAAAAAAAATCATCGATATCGGACAATTTTTAGCAAAGATACAGCGTATTGGAATTTTAAACATGTTGGTTCCAAACATTATTGAAGTTTTAAATTAACTTTTGTTTCCTTTGACGATTATATTTATCGGTAAAGTAAGAATTGATTTCTTTATCCTATGAAACGTTGCATTATTTTGTTTTCTTTTTAATCTGGCATTTGATCACTTAACAATATGCTGTGCGAATTTTTCGCACGGGCCTACTAGTTATTATTATATTTCAAAAATTTCATAGTTTCATATTTATATCGAAAAGAAAAAAATATTGCAAATCCCATTCTTATAAATCAATCAGGAGGTCGTTGAAAAGTAAAACTAGAACTAAGTGAATTAAAATAATGTTTAAAATACCTGAAAGAAATTTATTGAAAAAAACAATTATTAAAAAAATTGGCAGGAATTATTGTTTGCATTATTTTTCTTTCTACCTTTTTTCACGGCAAGGTATATAACTTGGCACGAATTAATAATTCACAAGACTTCATCAGCAGTGCGGAGGTCACGAACAAAAAAGAAATATGATTAGTTTGGAATTCCCACTGTTAGCAAAATCTCAGTAACTCAAGGTACTACATCAATCCTTGATAATGGATGATTGCACGTTGCGTCGAGGCAATCGGATGAACTTTCCGGGAAGGAGAAATTTATATATATATATATAGAGGCAGATAAGATGAAAAACGCAGCAGTTTTGTGTGAGCCTCCGCTGCAAAAACATGAAGCTAATTCTCATCTTTGGTATTGCTCTGTGTAAGTACAATATAGATCTCGTTTGGTTATTGATTCATTCTCACTTGACTCTCGGAATGGGTATCATTAACTTCTTACATTTTTTCCTGTTTATTTTATTAAGCCAATCCCTTCCACGCCTGTCAGGAAATTGACCTAATAATAATGCTGCAGGCACTGACCCTATTTAAATGATGCGGATTGTAATTAAAGGTATGGAGTTAAACGGATTGTTATATTAAATGATTGGATGACTAGTAAAATAAGATCTGTATTCTGTCTACTGCATTTTGTATTTATTGTATTGTAATGTGAATTATTGAGGTCGAATCTGTACAATCAGGAAGGGTTAGTATGTTAATCAATTTGGTATGCATATTATAAACTATTTTAACTGAAGTGATTAGATGGGTTGTGGCTGAAAATGAATTGCTTAGTTACTTACTGCATTCTGATATTCATCCTTCTCATACATTCTCTCTCTCTCCACGTTCACCTATCCCATTACTAGGCCGCTAGAGTATCTACTGTATGTTCTTATTAAAATGCAGTACAGATGAAATATTGGATGGTCAGCTATGTATCCTCTTCAGTGGATATGAATCTAGCAGGAACCCTACATGTGAAGACTTTTGGCTTTTGTGCTTCTCTTACCTGCGAAGAGATTGCAAACAGTGCTGCTTTTTCTTCATTATGTTCAAATTAAATAAAGTGGGAACTTGGCTGTGTTCCCATATTGTCCAGTAAAAAATAAAGATGAAACTTGAGAGAAATTGTTTATTACCCTCCCTATAATAACTGGTAAAAAGTCCCAAAGAATCCCGCTTCAGGTTTTGATGGGGGAAGGGGTTTAGTTTTTTTTAGCAAAGGTTGTACAGTATGATATTAAAGTACTTTAAAACTTCTATAAAAATGATCTTATACTTTTTTTTTTTTTTTTTATACAATCAATGGTTAAGGTGTTGTTTATGAGATTATATTTATTGTATTTCCACTTTAAGAAATAATTTTCTTCTTACCACAAAATTTATGTTGCTCAAGTTGAGATTGACATTAATTTCATATAATTGATAATGTGTGATAATAATAATAATATTCGGCTGGTCTCTAGGCAGCAAGCGCTCCCCATCCTGTAAGTCCAAGTTGGCGTAGGTCTGCCTCAACGTCGTTCAGCCATCTTATTCTGGGACGTCCACCCGGCTTTTCAAAAAGTAGCTTCTTTGGAAGATGATCCTACCTCATACACTCCACATATCCTAGTCTCCTCAGCCTTCTCTTTTTTACTTTCACTTACCTATGTACGAAATATATAGTAAAGGAAAGTATTGCGATCGTGAAAATTTTTTAATCTCAGTTTTCAACGGAAATACACATTTTGAGTTTCTTTGAGTTCAAATAACCAAGTCCCGCAAAATGATCCGTGTGTGTGTGTTAACAGTCTAGCTCAAAAACGAAAAGTCGTACGAAAGTGAAATTGCATATTTAATGTTATTATATGCTAGGGATGTTACAGTAACTTTTTCGTCAGAAGTGGCATTTTATATCGTGGGCTAAACACATTTTTACAATTTTCTCGGAAACGGCTCTAACGTTTTTGATTAAATTCATTATATAAGTGTAAAATTAAGCAGTTTTAAATAAAATGTAGTTTTCATTCTGATCGATGTTAACAGAGCTTAAACGGATAATTTTCCATATTAGCCTCCTCTAAAGTACCTTTAATTTTTTTTATTTGAAACAATTGTCTATTTCACATTAAATTCTAATATAAAAGATAGTTAAGTATAAAATATGAACGAATTGATAATTAACTAAAAGAGAAATAAAAAATAGTAACGGAGAATAATTGTAATTGATCGTACCCGAGCTCGCCCGAAATATTATAACAGTCATAGGCAACATGAGGTTAATATAATACGGAATCCGACAATATTATATAAATATAAATATGCGGTTTTCATAAATGCTATTGCTGATATTATTTAATATATATATATAAGGGTACTAATACAAATAAAAATACCCAAAATGAAATATAAATAATTATAGCGTCTATAATTTTTACTTTCATTTCTCCTTTGTCTGAAAATACTTTTTTCTGCTAAGAAGAGGATGGTAAGTGAAAGTTGCGTGATGCGCGCACCGCACCAGATTTTTATCATAGTTACTATGTTTCACTGATCATAATATGCTCTTAAATCTTCTTTTTTTTTTTTTTTTTTCTAATTTTCTACTCTCCATCAGAGTACACTGGTCCATATATTTTTCATAGTATCTTTCTTTCCCGGATAAATAATCGTTTCTCCAGCTCTTTAACAGAACCCATGTCTCACTGCCGTAGGTGATTGTAGGGCAAATAATTGTCTTGTAAACGATGATGACCTTGGCGCTCCAAGAAAGATCTTTGAACTTCAAAACTTTTTGTACTGCAAAAATATGTGTGATATGAGATAGAAGGCATTTAAACTTATAAATATTTATCATTAACCATGGTCTGGTTAAATACAGAGAACCAGACAACTTAATGTTTGTAACTTTTGAGCAAACCAGGTTTTATGTTGAATAAAAAGTAATAGCTAAAAAAATATTTAATTTAGGTTACAACCAATCACTTCAAAGTAAACTAGATTTAATTTACATTAAATAAAATTAAATCTTCTTTGTTTTGAAACCATTTAAGGAGGACTTTTAAGCACATGAACTACGGTAAGTTCGGCTTTTAGTAAAATCAAGGATACTTTTTTTTTTATAAAACCTCAAATGAATTGAAGATACCACACTTTCAGAAAAACTATCTTATTTAAAAATTTGAAGCCTATATTAATTATGTTTTGGTTTATTAAGATTAAGATAATTATGTTTGGTTTGGGGTTGAGATTCATCTCAAATTGTCTTACAAGATGTAAAAATATTGAGATCGATCCGTTATTTTACCTTACTAATAATATTTTTACTCAATTAGAGAAATTGTAAAAGCAACTTAATTAATATAGTTTTAAAGATCATCTAACAAGGAAGTTTTTCTGAAAGTGTGATCCTCTGCAGTCAATTTCCGAGTTTATAAAAAAAATCGCAAAGCATCCTTGATTTTTTGAAAAACCGAACTTACCGTAGTTCAACTGCTTAAAAGTCCTCTTTAAATGGTTTTAAAATAGGCAAGATTTATTTATATTTAATGTAGATTTAACATGAAGTAATTGGTTGTAACTTAAATTAGACAGAAACTTTGAATAATAATTTGAACGATCGAAAATGATAAAAAATTAATTAAACTTCAAAAAGGTATTCTATGAACAAGATCAATTTTACGGTTGTAGCTATTTTTGCTTAAAGTGGAATTACAATAAATATAATCTCATAAATATCTCCATAATCATTGATTTTATAAAAAAAAAAATAAAAAAAAAATAAATAAATAAAAATGTATAGAATTATTTTTATAGAGATTTTAGAGTACTTAAATATTATATTGAACAATCATTGCGAAGAATCTCATAGTTTTTGAGATATTCTTAAAAAATAAAAAAATGTTAATTTTTTGTCCTTGTTCTTCTCTCCTCCTATCAAAACCTGACGCTTGATTCTTAGGGACTTTTACCAGTTATTATGGAGAGGATAATAAACAATTTCCGACAAGTTTCATCTTTATTCCATCATTTTCCCCTAGATATAGTGCATGCTAACCGCAATGTAATAGTTTAATAATGTAATGATAAGAAAATTAAGCTTGTTTACTTTCAGTTATAGGTTTGACATCTGCAGATTCAGATGACGGTAGCTGTAATTTACTATGTCCAGCTGTCTATATGCCAGTTTGCGGAATGGAAGTAAAATCTGACGGAACAAACGAGATACGCATCTTTAGTAACTCTTGCGCAATGGGAGCTGAAAACATGTGCAATAAGCGTAAGTATATTTTAACCAAAATATTTATTTATTCAGTTTACAAGTGTAATTCATTATTTTCCTCCGAAAGTATTATTCAGTAAGTTTTATATATTTGAATTTTATTGTAACTAATGCTATTTTCTAACTTTACAGGAAATTTTGTTTCTTGCTGAAAATTCAAAAAACATCCAGACAAAATGTAATAATCCAGGCAATTGAGTACGAATGTAAATAAAATTGAAATCTGCTTAATTACTCTAAAAGTTTGATATCCTGTATTGTTAAGCTCTCTAATTTTAAATCAAACTTGGAATGAAGCCTAACTAATATTTAAATTAAGTCAATTGTGGATTAAAATAAAGTGGACTGTATAACTTTATTTTGAAACATTTACACCTATTAATAACGAAAAAATAAAATGAAATCAATTTTACACTTATAGCAATAGATAAAATAAAATAATAACTATTAAAATTAAAATAAAGATAAGCTGAGTACAATGCTAATAAAAACAATTATGAAGTATTTAATAAAAATATTTCGATGTTTGATCATGGAAATTAAATAAAGAAATTGTATAGTTGATGACCCAAGATTACAATCAATAATAGAAAGAATTAGACAAACATATTAACAGTGCTAATAAGTGAACAAACCGCTGGCACTACAATCCAGGAACCAAGCGTAGATATTTCATGAGCGCTCATATAATCGAACTTCAAGTGGACAGCGGCGAGCATGGCCAGAGAAATAGGTCTCTTCAAAGGTGGACTGCAGTGGCCAGTATAGCTGTTGGCAGCACTGGGAGCTGGGACGGACGGAGTCAGACTGTTACACGGTGGGCCAGACCCCCCTACCGTGCACTCCTCCGCCCCCACATCCCTACAAAATGCATATTGTTGTGTTCCTTGTAACTATTTATTAAAAAAAAAAAAAAAACAAGATTCCCACAAAAAAAGGTGAACGAACTGCTCCAAAATGGCGTCCAAACATGGCGGACTGACGACTTTCACTTTAGTTAGTTTTTTGGTCACTGAGAATCAGTATTTGGCTTTACTTCGTCATAGTTGATCTTTTATTAAAGCTGGATAGTCAGAAAATAAGAAAACATGAAAAATATCCCCACATATATTATTACAGTAAGGCTCGAAATCTGTTTTGTGCCAAATATAAGCTCCTGTCATGCTCAAATACTATGAATGGGGTACCGTTGGATTCAGAATTTCACTGGGGGTTAGAAAATCGTATTCTCCACTTTTGTTTTCTTTCTAAAATAAATAAAGTCGATACAAACATTTTGCTAGGCTTCCATACTGGAACGGTGGTAGGTCTGTAGATAGGGACAAATTGGATCTTGAAGATTTTGATGCGTACAGCAAAACCCAAATCCTGCGTTTTTAAGCCGAAAAACGTACTATTTTCGAGATAGCGCAAGGCATAGGGTTCGCATCCGCACAACCTTACATTAATTGTAATACTGTCATTGAATACATGTCCCATTTCGTCGACTTGAGGTCTCTATGATCGAGAGAGGGGGAGTTTATTTTATTCATCGATGGTTTTTTTGATCGGCAAGCCATATCATGGTTAATTTTTCACCAAATCTCAAGATTGAGCCACCAATTTCGAAGTCTTCCTTCTCCTTCAGGCTGGAAAAATAGTCCAATCACCCAGAAAATTCAGGCAAACAAGTTATGAAAGAAAATAAACCTTAATTGCGAATAACTGAACAATTACACACTTTCCCCTTTCTGGTTATGCCCATGATTATATAAAAAAATTACTAAATTCCCTACAAAAGGAAAAAAAAGTCATCCGAATCGGACAATATAGCAAAAATACAGCTCAGTGAAATTTGTATACATGTTGGTTCTAAACAAAAATGAAGATTTAAATTAAATTTTGTTTGCTTTGTGGATTATATTTATCGATAAAGTAACATTTGATTGATGTCTTAATCTTTTGAAACCTTGCATTTTCTTATTAATTTGATAACTATATGCTGTGCGAATTTTTCGCACGGGCCTACTAGCGGTACTGGCGTAGGTGCCTACAGGCCTCTACTGCACCACTCAGTACTCATAAATGGCTTAGTTATAGTGATATAATAACGTTTTTGGTACATTATATTGATTGTATTAACGAACAAAAATTATTGCAACAAATTAATTGTAAAAAAAATTGAACAATTTTTTTTAAATTTATTATTTATTTATTTTGTTTTAGATTTAATTTCTTTTATTCTATACGGAGCTCGTTAAAAAAGGTCTCTATTATGAAAAAGATGTAACTATAATGACAAAACAATTCAAAAATACTTTGTTAAAATGCTAAACATTGTTAATTTTTTATTTAACGTTTGCAATTCAACACTTTGTTTTGTGAATTTAACGATTCTTAGAGGTAGTTCAAATTTTATTTAATTCCCCCAAAAATGAGTATATTAATACCTGTTTTATAAACTAAAATAATATATACCTAATCTGCAGTAAATATAATGAATAGTTAATCGGTTGTTTAGTATGACTCATATATCACTAATGACAAAATTAATTTTAATTTCCTTTATTTTGTTATTAAGTTGGATCATATCATAAAAATATAGAAAATTTTAGTATAGAATGCATTATTTTCAGCAGGTCTCGACGAATTTTTATTTTATTTAATTGCAATTTAGCACTTTGTTTTGTATATTTATTGATTCTTAGAGGTAATTTAAATTGTATATAATTCCACGTAAATGAGTCATATTAATACCTCTTTTATAAACTACAATAATATATACCTAATCTGATCTAGAAAATAATGAATGATTCATGGGTTGTTTAGTATAGCTCATATATCACAAATAAAAAAAATAATTTTCATTTCCTTTATTATGTTCAGAAGTTGGACCACATCATAAAAAATATGAAATTTTAATATTGAATGGATTATTCTCTCTGCAAAAAGAAAGATGGAAAGGGTGAAGCTATAAGTTCTTCAAGGTAACCGGAGCTGATAGTTACTATTTAGTCTTAAGATGAGGGGAAATGCGAAATTGAATCCAAAAATTGGAAAATGCATTAATCGAACAAGAAAGGAAGTGCTCAAGTCTCGGAAAAGAAAACAAGGATCAGTATCAATTATATGGCAAAACAAATATATAGTAGATAGTTGAACAGAATATTTCAAGATGCTGGTAAAAGGGGGTAAAATGCTGGAGCAGTTTGAATGATATTAATGGGACGATGCAGGTTTATTATGGTGAAGACCATTTTATCAGCAAGAAAGATTTGTTCGTAGCAATTGGCAAGTCAGCAGGTCTGAAAGAAGTAAACCGAACTTCTACGCACTGTTTTGCGCGTATATAGACAATAAATGTATTAGAAAATGACCTGAAAGTATGGTGGTTTTGTACTTTTACAAGAAAGGAGATATTATAAAATGTAATAACCATCGAGATTTGTTCCTGTTTAGTGTACCAAAGAAAGTCTACTCAAGAACCGTAGAAGCTAGAATAAGAAATATAGTGGAATACCAGAGCGTTATGGATTGAGAAACTCTTGTTGCACATTGGAAGAGAAGTTGCTAATTGGAACTGTCTACACTTTGAGGCAGGTCACAGAGAAGTCCATCAAGAAAGAAAAATAACTCTATATCTGCTTAGTGCCACACACTTTGGTTTGTGGTAATATCTAATTGTCTTTCAGAAAAAGCTCGTTTTCTTTTCAGATTCATTAAAATATCTTTTGTAAATATACTAAACAGAAGGTGACCTAATTCTCTTTCTCGGTAGACTTCTCTATAACCTGTTTCAAAGTGAAGATAGTCCCAATGTGCAACTTCAGTAGCAATCGAAATAAAGTGGTTTCCGCATAATAAACCTCCATCATCCCCTTGATATCATGCCAAACTGCGTTTGACTCCCTTTTAGAAGCATCATAAAATATTCTGTCCATCTGTCTACTGTTCGTTCATTTGCCCATATAATGGATACTGGTCCTTTTTTTCCGAGATTTTAGCACTTCTTGTCTCGTTCGATTAATGTATTTTTCTAATTTTTGGGTTTAATTTCACGTTTTCTCTCATTTTGAGACCTAATCCAAACAATCAGTTTCGGTTACCTAGAAGCTTGTCTCTTTCAATCTTTCTTTGTGCAGAGAGAATAATGGATTCAATATTGAAATTTCCTATTTTTTTATGATATGGTCCAACTTCCGAACAAAACAAATTAAATAAAAATTATTTTTTTTATTTGTGATATATGAGTTATACTAAACGACCCATCAACTATTCATTATATGTAGTTCAGATTAAGTATATATTATTTCAGTTTATAAAACGGGTATTAATATGACTCATATTAGTATATGCAGGAGAAGTATATGCAATTTTAATTACCTCTAAGAATCAGTATATATACAAAACATAGTGTTAAATAGCGTTAAATAAAAAATTCAAGATATTCAGCAAAGTATTTTTTAATTAAGTTGAATTATTATAATTACATCATTTTTACAATAGAGAGATTTTTAAACGACTTCCGTATAGAAAAAAAGAAATTAAATTAAAAAAAAATAATAATAAATTTAAAAAAAATGTTTAATTTTTTAGACAATTAAATTATTGTATTGATATTTGTTCTTTAATAAGTAGATAAGTAGCTGAGGTTTCCAATTTGCATTGATTTGTTAGATTAGTTTTTGTTGTATGTTTGAAAAAATGTTGCTATTTTGGATTGTTGGTAAAGTCAGGAATAAGTTAGGACTTTCAGTTATTGAAATTGGTAGATACCATTCATTAGGACGAAACTCTTAATTCTCAAAATGGTTCTGATAAAGTTGGGCACCACTTTTTTCATTGCAAAGATTTTATCTATTAAATTTCGAATGTGAGTTACATGATGGCCATGAATTGAAAAACAGTAGCTACTATTATTACCATTTTATTTTAGTACATAAATAAATAATTACAATAAATGTTAGAAATGTTAAGTTAAAATTCCTTTAATGCCAAACCAATATGGTTTATATTTTTTAAACTCTAGCGCATTACCTCTTTTTGAAGTATCAGTGCAAATTGGGGTTTTAAATATAATATTATAAATTATATATAAAGATTGAAAAATAAATTTTGAGTATTCTTTTAATACTATATTTTTTATTGACATAGTTTGATTAATGAAAGATTATAATTTCAGCAAAGTGGATATCCATACTGTTTATATTCTATAAACATTTTTTATATTAATATTCAAATTTGGAAATCATTGTTGTGACATAAAAAACATTCACAATAGCATTC